TACCTGAATCTAAATGATGCATTAATGATAAAAGGCGAACTGTAAAACTGCATCTTTCAACTAAAATAAGTTCAGCTTCACTTCAATACTAAAATTTAGCTTAGGGACTTGATTTTTGTTGACATCTGTCTAAAACATCTTACAAATGCTCAAAAAAGGAAATAATATTGATTACAAAAATAATAAAAATGTGAACTAAGAAGATTTGAATCTTTATTTTCTTCTGGTCCATTATTATATTTTGCATCAACCTTGCAATCAAACTATTTCTTTTGCAACTATTGCAGACTGTGTCTGCTCCCCCATTCTTCCCCTTTCTACCTCCCAAGAATGCCTTAGAGCAATATTCCCTTTCTAGCCTCCTCACAGAAGTTGTTGTTTTAAGTATCTTTTCGCACAGAGATTGAGATTAACAGTAATAAGAATTATTTTAAGGCACTATTATTGCTGTGCTTTTACCATTAATTATATGTTCAAAGAAAAGGTTAATTTTATTAATATTAAAAACCATGGTATATTTAATTTGAATAAGAGCGCCGCTGTTAAAAAATAAATAAATAAATAAACTGGGCATCTCTTCTGCACTAAAGACAAATTTTTGGCTAGTTTGTGTGGCTAAACTCCAGGACCACAGAACAAGGACATTTGTAAGGAGCCGTTAAAATAAAGTGCAATAGCTCAAAAGAATTATTTTTCTTTTATTGAGTTTTAGTAAAGTAAAATAACTCAAAAGGAATGGAGTAAAATAAAATGATTTGAATGAAATATGTTTTTCTGAACAGTTACCTTCTCTTAGAGCAGGGGTGTCAAACTGAAATACACAGTGGGCCAAAATTCAAAACTGGAACAAGGTCGCGGGCTAACATTAATATTTATTGAAAAAAAAAATCTTCCTCCAGATTTAAGAATGAATCTCTTCTTATGGACTCAAACAAGTTTTGCTGAAAAACTGAATATGGAACAAGCAAAGCTTAATACTAAAGAATATATATATTAGCTGTATAATACCAGTAGGCCAGCTCTAATAATAATTTGGTGTGGCTTTGCGGGCCAAATGTAATTAGGCTGCGGGCCAAATCAGGCCCACGGGCCAGAGTTTGACACCTATGTCTTAGACCAATTTCATTGCTTTCTCCATGAACAACGCCAAAGTAAACGTGTTACATTATACGGAGAAATGGAGAGGAGAACCTCCTGAGCTACAGACACCCCTGTAAGTGCCTCTTCACCTCACTGTGCAATACCTTTTGTGCAATACTTTTGTAAATAGTCAACAGTGCAATAGACCTCAACACTTGAAATGTGCAATTCACTTGTATTTTTATTTTTTATTCCTATTTATTCTATTTATCCCCTTAGTATATTTTACTTATATTGTCTCTGTATATATATATATGTGTGTGTGTGTGTGTGTGTGTGTGTGTGTGTGTGTGTGTGTGTGTGTGTGTGTGTGTATATATATATATATATATATAAAATATTCTGTAACTCTGTAACTTCTGTCGGTGCTGTGCTTTCTTGGAAATCGAATTTCCCAGAGGAACCCACCCGAGGGATTAATAAAGTTCTATCTTATCTTATCTTATCTTAAAAGCATCCATATGAATTCATTCAGTGTTTCTCTGTTGTGTCCTCTGTAAAGGCTGAGCGTACCCCACGTTCAGATCGTAAGCGACGAGACTCATTCGGGATGTTTGATGGCTATGACAGCTGCAGCGAGGAGTCCACCAGCAGCTCTAGCTCAGACGACAGTGAGGATGAGGTGGTACCCTCTATCCCTGCTAGTCTGCCCATCATCAAGAACAATGGACAAGTCTACACCTACCCTGATGGAAAGGCTGGAATGGGTCAGTACATGAGGCTTATTTTTTGTGTGTATTGCTTAAATAATAATCTGTGAGTGAACAATAATAGTGTTTACGTTTAGCTGCTGTGGCTCAGGAAGTAGAACGATTATTAGTTTGATTCTCAGCTCCTCAACATTCATATGTGCAAATATCCTTGGCCAAGATATTGAATTATCTAAACAGTTAATGCATTACTTTTGGTATACCCTTTGAATTAAAGCTGAAAATTTTCATTTGTATCACATTTGGTAAATTTAAAATCCACTGTAGTGATGGGGTGGCTCGGTCCCCTTCTGCTCCATTCTACATGCCAAATATCCTTGGCCAAGATAATAACCCCAAGTTGTTCTCCGATGCATCCACCGGACAATGAATGTGTATGACTGTTGGGTAGAAAGTGCCTATAAAAAAGTGCTTGTGCGATTGCATGTGAATGAGTGAATGAGGAAAGATGTATAAAGAGCTTTTAGTATTCAGAGTAGAAAGGCGCTATATAAAAACCAGTCTATTTACCACGTACAGAGCAAAAATTGCAATTGTGTCAATTTCCAAATACTTATGGGGATAACTATAAATGCCATTTACCATTTGTAGACTGCTGATCTATTTCGGTTTGTTTTCACAGCCACCTGTGAGATGTGTGGGATGGTCGGTGTACGAGATGCTTTTTACTCCAAAACCAAGCGTTTCTGCAGTGTGTCCTGTTCTAGGAGTTATTCCTCAAATTCTAAAAAAGCTAGCATCTTGGCAAGACTCCAGGTAAATGCATTATCTTTGATAAACAAGTATAGTCGTTTCATAATTTTGTATTATGTAAATATTAACATCTGCTTTGGTTTTTACAAG